AACGGGCCCGCGGCCGCGCGCTGGGTGCAGTGGACAAATACCGGCTGCGCAAGAAGTTCCCGCTGCCCAAGACCATCTGGGACGGCGAGGAGACGGTCTACTGCTTCAAGGAGCGCTCCCGCGCCGCGCTCAAGGCCTGCTACCGCGGCAACCGCTACCCCACGCCGGACGAGAAGCGCCGCCTGGCCACGCTCACCGGCCTCTCGCTCACGCAGGTCAGCAACTGGTTCAAGAACCGGCGACAACGCGACCGGACCGGGAGTGGCGGCAGCGCGCCCTGCAAAAGGTGAGGAGACCCGGACGGCGCAAGTCCCGAGTCCCTGGAACGTTGCGCCCTCCAGCCCTCCTGCCCCGTGCCCACCACTCGAGTCAGCGCGCCCGACTCTTCCGACACCTCCGGCGCCCGCCGAGCGTGGATAGAACGGGCACACGCCCTGGGCCTTCGGTCCCGGGCATCACAGCTCCGCCCAGGGCTCCATCTCAAATCCCGGCCGTGTTCGGGACACTGGGGGAGAGAGGCAGTGGGAAAATGGGGGACTTCGGAGGGGCTGCTGGGGGGGGAGGGGCCTTTGTCCGCCAGACCCCGAGTAGGGGCTGCTCTCTGGCCCCCTTCGCAGCCGGGCGCCTCCTGACCGTTACTCTTCCCACCCGCCTCGGGGCCCGAACAGCGTGGTCCGTCGTCTGCTTTTGTTGTGAAACGTGAACCTTCCCCGGCTCCGGTTTCCCTGTAACCCAAGCCCTTCCCCTCCCACCCTGTGTGGCCGGCCTCTCACTCCCTTCCCTGACGCCCCGGGGGAGGGCGCCAGGAACTGAGCCCGCCGCCTCCTTACTCTCCAGGCCACCCCCTATTTCCACCAGGCCCAGAAAACTTGGGGCAGCCTGGGAGCTCCGCCTCGGGCCGCAGGCCAGGGCGGTGGGGAAAGCAGGGCTCCTTTCCTGCTGCCCAGGGACAAAACTCTACCGCAGAGGTGTCAGTGCCGGGCTAGCGGCGACCCCTGGGTCCTTGGGTGCTCGCAGAGATTCCCTGACCCCTGAAGCAGCGGAAAGCTTGGTGGGGGAAGGGGACAGGCAACTCTCTGTGGGCCAGGCTGGCCTAGGGGACATTCAGGATCAGGCATCTTACAAGTTTTTCTCTGGCCAGCGAGTCAGATGGGAACCCCACAACTGAGGACGAGTCCAGCCGAAGTCCTGAGGATCTGGAGAGAGGGGTGGCCCCAGTGGCTGCAGAGGCCCCCACCGCAGGCCCTGTATTCCTGGCCGGCACCACCCCAGCAGCGCCATGCCCGGCCTCCTCCTCCATCCTGGTGAACGGGAGCTTCCTGGCGGCCAGCAGCTCTCCAGCAGTGCTCCTCAACGGGAGCCCTGTCATCATCAACAGCCTAGCCCTGGGGGAGGCCTCCAGTCTGGGCCCCCTCCTGCTCACAGGGGGCGGGGGCGCTCCTCCACCACAGCCCAGTCCCCAGGGGGCCTCTGAGGCCAAGACCTCCCTGGTCCTAGACCCTCAGACTGGGGAGGTCCGACTGGAGGAGGCTCAGCCAGAGGTCCCTGAGACCAAGGGGGCCCAGGTGGCTGCTCTGGGGCCAGTGGGAGAGGAGGTCCCCGGGCCTTTACCCCAAGTGGTGCCTGGCCCCCCACCAGCTGCCACCTTCCCCCTGCTGCCTGGGCCAGCGCCTTCGGCTGCTCCACAGGCAGTGCCACTCTCTCCCTCTGGACACGCTGCGGGCCTGGGCCCCCCTTCCCCGCTGTTGAACCTGCCCCGGGTGCTACCCACCTCACAGGTGGGGGCCCTGCCTCAGGCTGCGGGGCCCCTGCAGCTGCTGGCAGCTGGGCCAGGCAGCCCTGTGACAGTGGCGGCTGCAGCCGGCCCTGCCAACGTGCACCTGATAAACTCCGGGGTGGGCGTGACTGCCCTGCAGCTGCCTTCAGCCACTGCCCCAGGTACCTCCTTGGGCCTCCCTTGGTTCTGGGGGAGGCATGGGGGGCTGTCCTGGACTTCTGGGAGGTGCGTCTCCTCCCTGGCAAGTCCCGGTGCCCTTCTGTGCCCGGCATAGTGTCCCCCCAAGCCCAAGCACACTCCTCTCTTCTCCCCACAGGAAACTTCCTGCTGGCCAACCCCGTGTCTGGCAGCCCCATCGTGACGGGCGTGGCCGTGCAGCAGGGCAAGATCATCCTCACGGCCACCTTCCCGACCAGCATGCTGGTCTCCCAGGTCCTGCCGCCGGCTCCCAGCCTGGCCTTGCCCCTCAAGCCAGAGATGGCCACCTCAGTGCCTGAAGGAGCCCTCCCAGTGGCCCCCAGCCCTGCTCTCCCAGAGGCCCATGCCCTTGGCACCCTTCCTGCACAGCAGCCACCACCCCTTACTGCCACCAGCTCCGCAGCCAGCCTGCCCTTCTCCCCAGACTCCTCCAGCCTTTTGCCCAGCTTCCCGGCACCCCCGCCAGAGGGCCTGATGCTGTCACCCGCCGCTGTGCCCATCTGGCCGGTGGGGCTGGAACTGAGCACAGGAGCAGAGGGGCTGCTAGAAGTGGAAAAGGGGTTGGGGACACAGGCCCCCCACACAGTGCTGAGGCTGCCAGACCCTGACTCCGAGGGGCTGCTTCTGGGGGCCACGGCAGGGGGTGAGGTTGAGGAGGGCCTGGAAGCCGAGGCCAAGGTCCTGACGCAGCTGCAGTCGGTGCCTGTGGAAGAGCCCTTGGAACTGTGACCCGGCTGCATCCAGGCCTCTCCTGACAATGGTGCTCAAGATGCGGGCCAGGCCCCGGGGGAGGGGGCCTCGGAAAAAGCTGCTGTGGCCTGAAGATCTTGCACGTGCTGGGTTCCTCTGCCCACGTAACCCTGCCACTCCCTGTCTAGGGCGCTGTCCCTCTGGACTGGAGGCTCCTGTTACAGCCCTGACCTCGCTGTGCCCTGCCACATATCTAAGGGGGATTTTGGGTCCTGACTCGGGGGCTCTGCCCCTTCCACCTGGTACTATCTGGGAGCTGAAGGACCTGCCAGATGGCCGTGGCCCTCTCCTTGTCACTCCTTGAACCTATTAATAGCTCCACTGACGCCGGGTGTTCCCAGAACTGCTTGGAATCCGAGGGCGAGGGCGGAGGATGGCTGTCTGGTGCCCCAGAGACCGGCAGACCCTCCCTCCCCCAGCTCCTGCCTAAACAGGCAGGGTGGGAGGTGGGGTCCTCTTAGCTCCCCTGGACTAAAGCCCCGTGATTGCATCTAGCCCCAGACCAAAGACCCCTTGCCCCTGGGGCACCCCGACCCGTGCGTCTAGTTTGTACCTAAATCTTTATTTTTCTAGGACATGTTATGCCCCCATTTCAAGTAAAATAAAGTTAACAAGAAGACAACAGCGTAGGGTGAGGGCGCCTTCCTAACGGCTTGGCCAAAGGAACAGCACAGCAGAGGCGGTGGTGTGCTGGTCACTGTGTCTGCGGGAGAGGGGGGTTTGAGCTGAGCTTCGGGGTGCTGGTTGGGAAGCTGTGGGCCAGAGGTACACATCTTTGAAGCCTCAGGCTGCAGGACTGAGTGGCCTGCAGGGTGGGAGGACTGGCCCCTGAGCAGGGGGCGCAGCAGGCCTGCCCTTGCCCAGCTTGTTGGTGACAAGGGTTCCAGTAGCTTTATTTTGCTTAAAACAATAAATAGCCTATAAATAGAACAGGAGGGAGGAGCAGGTGGGTGAGGATGAGGGGTGAGACCCGTGCTGCTGGGAGGAAGAGCAGAGGCAGCCCTGCTAGGAGCTTGGCCGCCTTCCCTTCAGGAAGGGCCTCCTTCCCCAACCCGCCCAGGTGTCCTGGTAAATCGTGGGTAGGAAAGGAGAGGTGAGGAGGGCAGCCATGCCACCTGCCACTCTGCCAAAGCATCAGGGTCAAGAAATACCCACTCTTGGGACCAGCAGTTAGCATAATGGCTATGTCGCTGGATTCCCATGTCGACACCAGTTCGAGTCCCTGACCCGGTGGCTTAAACTCACGCCAGGTGCGTGTGTGTGCGTGCCCAAGATCCCAAGAGGAGAACGGAGAAGGGATTGCGGCATGGCCATCTCTCCGGGGGGTGATTTCTCGCTTTCTGTCTCTCTGTCTCTTTCTAGCGAGCACACACACCCTATAGCAAAATCCTCTACAAAAAAGAAAAGAAAAAATAAATAAATACTCCCTCCCCTGTCCCATGGGAACTGGCCAGGGGGGACCTGGTTGCAAATTTGGGCTGCGAGAGCCATGAGGGGCAGAGGGGTACCCCTCAGGTGCGGTGGGGGCGCAGGGCTGCGTCTGGGGCACAGCGGGCCTTCTCGGCCATCAGCTGGTAGAAGGGCTTGGGGGTCTCCCAGTCCTCGTCCTCGCTGCTGGAGCTGTCCTGCTTCACAATGCGGTTGTGCTGGCGGCTGAACCGGCGGGCCTTGGTGCTGGGGGAGAGAGGCAGGGCAGGTGGGGGCTCCTTCCTGCCCCTAGGGACACTGTCCCACCCCTAACCCTCTGACCTCTGTAGTGACCAGTGCCTGAGCTGAGAGAACCCAGAGGTTTAGCCTTGGGGGGGGTGGTTAGTGCTGAGTCTCCAAGTTTCGGTCTAAGATGGGACCTCGCTGCAGGCCCACACCCCTAGGATGTGTTAAAAACCGCCCACACTCGTGTGTTTAGGGGCCAGTCTGGAGGTACATGAGGCTCTTTGTAGCCAGTGGGGGGCATGGACTGAGGAGGGAAGGGGCAGGCCAGGAAACAGGAGCAGGCTCTCGAGGCAGAGAGGGCCTCCAGTGACGCCACTGTCCTCAGCTACAAGGTGAAGCATCTCGCCACCTTTGTCACCTCAAGTCTTTCATTAAAATTTGTGACAGTCTCTCAGCTCAGTAAACTCCCAACCTGTGTCCAATGACGTGGCACTTAAGGCTCGAAAATCCAAGCAGGCCTAAGGGCCGGGAGGCCCCGTTCTCTGCCCCTCACACCTCTCGCAGGGCTTCTCACCAGTATGGTCTCCTCTCCTGCTCTGTCATCCCCCGCCAGAGCTGGGCCAGCTCCTTTGTGGCAGCTGTGGATGCGGTGCCAGGGTAGGCTCTGGGACAGGAAGGAGGGAGGGAGGAGGTAAGGAAAGGCCTGCTTGCTGGGCACCCTGGTCTGGGTAGTATGACCACACCTCGCCCTCTTGGGGCTGTCATTTTGCCACCCAGGTCAGAGCTCTTGTCCCTGCTGGTCCTGCGAGGCCTCCGGCATGCACCATGGGGGGTGACGGGTCAGAGAAAGGAGATGGGTGAATCAGTGGTTCCAAGTGGTCCCAGTATCCCAAGAGAGTAGGGAACCTGTAGCCGCCACTCCTGGCCCCTGTAGGGAATTCACTGTTCCCCACTGGGACTTGGGAGGCTTCCTCTTCCCCTGCCTTCAGGCCTGGCCGTGACTGGTCCAGAACCAGTTGACTGATCTATCAGTCAACTCCAAGAACTTTTTGAGAGATTTTTTTGCTGTAGGGCATGTGTACTTGCCGGAAAGACAGAGACAGAGAGACAGAAATCAAGAACTCACCCCCAGGGGGGATGGCCACCTTGCAGTCCCTTCTCCTCTGTTCTCCTCTCGGGATTTTGAGCACACATGCACATGCGCCCAGTGTGAGTTTTAAGCTGCCAGATCCAACCCCAAGAACTTCTGCTTGAAACCCTGGAGTCAGAGAGCTCTCCTCTCACCACCGTGCTGGGGTGGACAGGGACAGAGCCAGACCTCCCCCCTAGGCTGCCCTGGCCAAGCCAGCAAGGCCCAGTCGGCTGGAGAGCAAAGCCAGCCTGGAAGAGAATGTGGTGGAGAGTGAGGAGCTGAGATTCTAGACGGTGTTTGAGCTCCCGGCTGAGCGTATCCAACGGCCATCGGCCATCGACTCCCGCCCCACCCACTCTGCACCAATGAACTCCTTCCTTACAGCTGAAGTCTGCGGGGGGTCTCACTGCCTATGACGGAGAGGTCTTGACCAGCACCACGGGGCCAGGTTAAATTCTGGGAAAGACTGTGGTTGGGATGGCCAAGTTCCAGAAAGGGGGTAAATGTGTCAGACAGCTGTGCGAGCTGTGGGGATGGGGCCAGGGGGCAGAGACCCATGGTGGATGAAGAGCCTACTCAGGGCCAAGAGGATCCCCACCTACCGGATATACTGCTTCCGGTTCATCCTGCAGAACATGATGAAGCCATTGACACACTTTTTCTTGGTCTGGGACAGGCAGGAGGCCTTCTTACTGTCCTTGGGCTTCGCAGGGACCCTGCCTGCCCGGCCCTTCCTGGCCTTTCTGCTTGCTGCAGGTAGAGTGGAGGCCCGCCGGGTGGGGGTCCACGTATAATCTCCATCCTCCTCACTGGAGGACTGCAAGTCCTCAGGGTCGGGCTGCTCATCCTGGGTGGGGGAGAGAGAGGTGAGAGAGGGCAGGGGATGTCTGGCCGGCCTCGGAAGATGGCCACAACTCTCACCTCCTGCTGCCTCCCAGCAGACTCCACGTCACTATCCTCTGAGCCAGGGCTGGATGGTGCCTTGCTGTTCTCACTTAGCGAAAGGTAGCAGTGGTCCAGCGAGACTGAGGACTGGCATGAGACGTGGGAATCAGGCAGGTCTCTGGGGCCTTCAGAGGGTGTTCCCTGGGCCATGATGAGGAAGAAAGGTGGGAGACACGATGAGGGGTGTCCCTCATGGTCCCACTCATGGTTTTTCTAGACAAACTTGTCTTGCCACCCTCTGGGCATTCGGACCCTATGGCGGTCAGCGAAGGGCTGGGTCAGCTGGGGCAACACTGCCTTCATTGTACCAGTTTGCCAGTCACTTAGCTGTGACACCTTGGGTGAGTCTTAACTTCTCCGAGCATTGATTTCATCTATGAAAGTTCTCATAATGTGAGAAGACTTCAGGAAGCTTATGGAAAGTGGAATTAAAGTATGGGTGTGTTCTGGTACAAAATTTTGAAATCTATGCATAGTTCTTTGGTGATACATATTTTCCATTTTTATTTATTTATTTATTTATTTATTTATTTATTTATTTTGGGGGGAGAGGTTTTCGCTATAGGGCGTGTGCGCTTGCCAGGCAGACAGAGAGAGACAGAGAGACAGAAAGCGAGAAATCACCCCCCAGGGGGGATGGTCACGCCGCAATCCCTTCTCCTCCATTCTCCTCTCGGGATCTTGGGCACCCACGCACACTTGCCCAGCGTGAGTTTTAAGCCACCAGGTCTGGGACGCGAACCGCGGTCAACTACATAGGAGTCCAGCAACATAGTCATTATGCTAACTGCTGGTCCCAATTTTTAATTTTTTTTTAGAGAGAGAGAGAGAGAGAGAGTTTTGCTATAGGGTGCATGCACTCACTGGAAAGAGACAGAAAGCGAGAAGCGAGAAATCACTCCCCAGGGGGTACGGCCATGCCACAGTCCCTTCTCTTCCATTCTCCTCTTGAGATTTTGGGCACACCACACAGGCACATGTGGCCAGCATGAGTTTTAAGCCACTGGGTCCAGGACTCGAACCACGATTGACCACATGGGAGTTCAGCAACATAACAATTATGCCATCTGCTGGCCCTATTTTCCATGACTTTTGAAGGCCCCTGGTATATGCTTTGCAGGGTTGAGAAGCAACTAGCTAGTGCCTAGTGTCCACTAAAAGCTCCACTAAAGGCATCGATTTTTGTCTCTGTCACCAATTCAGCTACTCATTGAAGTGACATTGGAGGAACAGTCCATTGAGGTCCAAAGTTGAGCTGCCTCTCTGTCAGATGGTGCCCTAGGGTGGACCAGGGTTACAGAGACTATCCTGGGGGCCTGGGAGGGAGGCAGCCCTGGGTTATGGGCTCCATTCCAACCGAGAATTTCTGGGGTCACACTTCTGATTTCAGTTTCTTCATCTGTGAAATGGGCCCATAAGAGACCCTACTTCTTAGGGTAGCGGTAAGATTACGTGAGGTTTCATGAGGTTTGGGGCCAGCAGGTGGTGAAGTGGTTAAGGGTGCTGGACTCCCATATGGTCAACCACAGTTCAAGTCCCAGCCCTGGCATTTTGCTTTTTCACTTTTCCTCTATTTTCCCCTCTCTCTTGCTCAATTCCTCTTTGGTCAAATTTAAATAAATAAATAAAGTTAAATAAAAATAATTCTTTTTAAAAAATTAAAGGGACCAGCATGCAGCATGGTAATTGAGGTGCTGGACACTCCCACATGGTCAACCAGAGTTCGAGTCCTGGACCTGGTGGCTTGCTTTCTCACCTTCCCCCCTCTCTCTCTGTGTGTCTCTTTCCGCTCTCTATCTCTCTGGTAAGTGCACACACCATATAGAAAATTATTTAAAAAAAATTAAATAAAATCATTTTAATAAATTACACGAGGTCTTTTTTGGGCCCCTGGCAGTTTTTAGCCCTCATCGTTTCTGTCCAGTTCATTCCAAGCACCCAGCACTGAGGGGGGAACTTGTAGTGTGTGTTTGGAGGAGGGGCCAGTAAGGGCAGGGAGGGCAGGTGAGCTTCTGAAAAGACTGGGAAAAGCACAAGTGGACAGAGAGGAGTTGTGGGTAGGTGGGGGGGGGTGGAAAGGTAGAGGAGATGGATGAGTGGATGGAATAGAGCCATGTGTGGAAAGATAGGCGGCCATGTCCGGGGACGGATGAGTAAAAGGTGCCCACCTTTGTCTGTGGTGCCTCAGGCATGCAGGCAGAAGGCGAAGACTCGAGATCTAAGAACATTTCTTCCAAGAGAGCTGTCAGGGAGGGACATCAGAGGAGTTGCCAGGGCAGAAATGCTCTTTTCTCAGGTCGGCAGGTGGCATGGTAGTTAAGGACGCTGGACTCCCACGTGGTCGACTGCAGTTCGAGTCGCAGACCTGACGGCTTGCTTTCTCACCCCCCACCCCCGACTCTGTTCCTCTCTGGTCAAATTAAAAATAAATAAATAAAATTAAATTAAATAATTATTAAAAAAGAAAAAAGAAATGGTTCTTTTCCTAGCACCATACCTTGACCCTCCTATCTCACTTGCTGTAGTCTTCTCCGACTTTCTCCTTTGGGGTCACCTACCCCATGTCCACATCCAGCCCACAGGCCCGCTCCCTCAGGGCACCCCTGGAAAGAGCAAGCAGCTCCCCACTGTGGGCTCCTGGAGTCTCCCATGCATCACAGTGGCCTGTGACTGCTTCCCCACCAAGCTGTGGGTTCCTCTAGGCAAGGCCTGGGTGGGATTCACCCCTGGGCACCCAGCATGGCCCAGCATGGCTCTGAGCATTTTGTGGAACCACCATGTGTTTTCTGAATGAACCCCACATCGGGCCCAGCCCTGGATACTCACTTCGGGTCAGATACTCACTGTCATCCTCCAAGATCTGGTCTGGCAGCAGTTTGCCCGGGGAGCTGAAGAGAGAAGGGCTGAGTCCTAGGATCTCACTTGGGTTGCCCACCAAACTCCAGGTATCGATCTGGAGAGGCCCCAAGGCCAGTGGGCTCCCTGAAAAGGAAACAACAAGCTCAGGCCTGTGGTCAGAGATTGTCTTCTTCACCCACACAGCAGCCAGCTTTGAATAGACAGTGGCTGTGAATACCTCGTTTAAGTTCTCAGTACAAAAAAACTGAGACACTGTTCCTGACATTATGTCAGGGATAGGAAGAAAAATCAGTATCATAATCCTATAGACTGATTGTAGCTATCTGTGGCTATGTGTTAAGAGAGATTCTTTTTTTTTTTCATTAAGAGAATTTTGCTATAAGGGTGCATGTGCTCTCCAGAGAGACAGAGAGACAGAAAGTGAGAAATCCCCCCCCCCCCGAGGGGATGGCCACGCTGCAATCCCTTCTCCTTTCAGGATTCTGGGCATGCATGCACAGACGCCTGGCTTGAGTTTGAAGTCTCTTGGTTTGGGACTTAAACTGTAGTCAGCCACGTGGGAGCCCAGCGACATAACCATTACTCCATCTGCTGGGCGTTTACGAGATATTCTGGGGAACCAGCAGGTGGTGTGGTGGTTAAGGCTCTGGACACTCCCACATGGCTGACCACGGTTCGAGTCCTGGACCTGATGGCTTGCTTTCTCACTTTCTCTCTCTCTCTCTCTCTGTTTTGTTGTTAAAATGAAAATAAATAAATGAATAAATAAAATTAAATAATTCTTTTTAAAAAAAGAGAGAGATTCTGAGGCAGTGTCTAGGCTTGAGAGAGTGATGATTGAGTAGCGATGTCTGCAGAGGCAACCAATGGAAAAGCGAGAGTAGGCATCATGCCTTTGGCATCCCTGTGCTTAGTGGATCTCCATTCCCTTTTCCACTTTCTCCCCTTCCATAGAAACCCCCAGAAGGAAGGTACAAGAAGGCCCTATACCAGTCTCCAAGGGGGAGATACAGAGTTCTAGTCACCATAGGGGCTGCCCTCTGTGGTCCAGGCAGGAAGCCAAGGGTCGGCATCCAGGGGCTCCTTATCCACCTCCTCGCTGGAATGATAACGCACCAGCTTCTGCCTGTAAGGGGCAGAATTCAAGAGGCAGACACAGACCCTCACACTGGGAATGACCTTGTGACCCCTTTGGGTGTCTCAGTGTGGCCGACTGTGAAGTGTGATGTGGGTGGGCTGGTGCTGGCCCTGCGGGAGTGTGGGTAGGGGGTTGGGAGGGAAGAAAGTTTAATTGGCAGAGGCTCCTGCCCTCGGGGCACATCAAGTCTTGTGAGAGAGACAACTTGGTAAATGGGCTGAGAGCACAGGGGGCGTGTGAGAAGCAGGGGCTTAAAGAGGACAAGGTGGGGTGGCCAGGCGGAGGGAGGACCCTGGAGAGCTCAGCCTGAGGATGGGCAGTTTCCCAAGAGGACAGCGGAGAAGGTTCTCCAAAGAGGAGACCAGAGTGTGAAAAGCCCTGAGGGGCCCAGGGCACAGCTCAGTGGGGAATGGTGAATATTTGGGTTAAGGATGAGTCAGGAGTGCAGGGCCAGAGAGAAGGCTAACCAAGAGTGCTGGAGCATCAGCACAAGCATCTGATGTTTTACAGGCACCAAGGAAGGGCTTCAAGCCGCCATTGACACAGTCATAATCAGAGAGTTAGAGAAGCCACTTGGTCGAGTGAGGACGGCTGGAGGGATGAGATGGGAGGTACATGGCCAGTAAGGACGGAGACAGGAGGGAAGGGATGCCTTCACGTGTGCTCACTCGCCAAACACCATCTTAGGCTTGCTAATCAACCTCATTTTTTTTTTTAAGAGAGGTTTTTGCTATAGGGTGCATGTACTCACCAGAGAGACAGAGACAGAGAGACAGAAAGTGAGAAATCACCCCCCAAAGAGGATGGTGTGGATAGCACAACTCCTTCTCCATTCTCCTCTTGGGATTTTGGGCATGCACGCCCAGGCACCTGGCATGAGTTTTAAGCCACCGGGTCCAGAGTCAAACCATGGTTGACTACTGAGGAGTCCAATGACGTAATCACTACGCCATCTGCTAGACCGTGTAATGACTTCATTTCCCACCAAATTCAACCATGCCAGACCAGACACTGAGCCCACCCCCTCATGCCCTTGCGTCTCCTTACCTGGGGCAAGTTTGCATCTTGCTGAGAAGATGGAGCCTCTCAATACCAGCCTCAGAGGCAGAGGAGGGCCCATCGTCCTGGGTACCATTTCCACAGCAGCAGCCTAAGGGGGCAAATCCGAATAACCTGTCCTGTGGGTTGGGCCCATTCCAGAGCTCCCAAATACAGAGAGGAAGTGAGGGGTCAGGTTCTGCAGACAGCCTCTCACTGCCCCATCTGAGCCCAAACTCCAGGCTGCAGGACCTCTACCTGAGGCTTGGGGTGCCAAGGCCAGCTACTAGCTGCTCCCCACATTGGGGCACCCCCAATCACCCCCAGGTTTCTTGAATCCCACATCCCTATCAGAAGTTGTAACAAAGGTAACATCCTTCAGTGAAATGTTGGCAGTGACAGTCACCATAGCAAATAGCCCTGTCTTAAGTATTTTATGTATTCAGTAACTCAGGGCTAAAAAGCACCATGATTATACCCATTCTACAGGTAAGTAAACTGAGGCATGGGGGTATCAGATGTGGTGCCCAACATCACACAGCTAGCAGGAAGACCTGAGAAACCCTCCCTAACCCTCAGGTTGGATCAGATGCCTTCCCTGGGGTTCACAGCCTCCTGGGCAACCCCAGGAAGTCTGGATCACCCAGAAGTGGTGTGGGTGACCCTTCCAGTGGATGGTGAACTTGGTCACTGATGTGCCATTAGCACTCCATACAGGGCCTGGTGCAGTGGAGGTGCCCAGGGCACAGGGCTGAATGAGAGGTAGATTGGAGGCTGAGCCTTATTTCAGGTAGCCATCTCTCGCCCACTCTGGTGCAGTGATGGGGGTCACAAGGGATGGCCTGACTGCTCCGAGGAAGACTCATGAGGAGGCCCTGCCCCATCCCTGGTTCATGGTCCAAAACTTACACTCAAGGGTGATACTGTCCCACCCCTGTACCCTCAACAGAGCCTGAACTGGGAATGAGATCATGAGCTCTGTGCAGTAAGACTATGTCTGTATTGTTCACACTGTTTGCCCAGCATGCCTGAAAATAGCCCAGAAATGAAAGAGCAAATTAACTGGGAGTGAAGGGACTGACCTGAGATGTTACAGTGGATAGTGTTCTCAGTTATGTCCAGCAACGTCACCTGGGATCTTCCACCTTTTCTGCCACCTCAAGATGAGGGTGATAAAGCCTTGGGGTAACTGCAGAGGTTGGGGCATCTCTGAGGGGTGGCAGTCCCCGTGGTGGTTCCTTACCTTTATGGTCTGGGGATGGTGTCCCTAGTTGCTCAAGTTCGTCCAGGGCCAGAGAGCGGCGGGGCTTTTGGACCAGGGTCTGGCGTTCTGAAGGAGCAGAGAGCTGGGCATGAGAGGATGGGGGGGGGGCATCTGACTGTTTAGCCTTCTCTGCTCTGGGCCTGACAATGCCTGTCACTAACTAGCCTGCCAGATATGCCCAGATCCTTACTCCATCTCCTGACCACATGTTAGAATCACTTCCGAGCCTTAAAAAATGGGGATCCCCAGGTTCTACCCAAACCAAAGAAACCCAACTTTCTCGTAGTCAGGCATAGGCAGAAGAATCTTTTCACATACTCTAGATGGCTCAGATGTGTAGCCAGAGCTGGAAAACACTGATTAAATCCAACACTCTCTTTTTATTTTAAATTTGCCAGAGGACATGTGTTCTCAACAGAGAGAGACAGAGAGACAAAGAGAGAGGGAGAGGGAGAAAGCACCCCGCAATGGGGCGTGATCATGCCACAATCTCTTCTCCATTTCTCCACCCTGTCATGATTTAGGACACTCACACAGATGCACCCAGCGTGTTTTTCAAGCCAACAGGACCAGGATTTAAACCAGGCTGTTGGCCATGAGGGTTCTTGCTCCCTTAACCACTAGGCCATGGGTTGCCCCAGCTCCCATTTTCAAGACAGGGAAACTCAAGCCCACCAAGGAGCGTTAGTAACAAGGCTGAGGCTGGACCTAAGACTCTTGCCTTCTAAGGTTGGTTCTTCCTGCCACCCTAAGTGCTGATTTCCTGGCCCAGGGACAGAAGGCTGAACTCAAAGATGATCAGCCATGACGAGAGCGGCTCCCACCCCTTGGGCACGGACATGTGCCCCTTCAGTTCATGTGTGTGGAATCTACACGGGCCCCGCTGTAGTCCTAGGGTCATTAGGCACTACAGTTCTGGATGAGGAAGTTGAGGCTTGGAGCAGGATGAGCTGCCCCAGCCTCGGAGCTCGAGGAAGAGATGGAGTTGCCCCCAGGCACAGGTGGCTGAGTGGGTCCCAGAGAGATGGCATCCCTGGAGAAGGACCCTGCACCTGTTTGATCCCTGCTTCTTATCTGCCTCCACTGACAGCTTGTACCTGACACTCGGGACAGCTTCTTCTTCCGAGGTTTCAGGCAGGCCCCCTCAAGATGAGACTTCCGAGAGCACGGGGAGCTGGAAGGGGTGGAGTGTCTGCGCCTAGCTGGGCCGAGGGCTGGGTCCCGACCCAGGCCTGCATGGGACAGAGGAGACAGGTCAGACCCCATTCTCATCTGATCTCATATCCTGCCCTCCAAACAACACTTCTCAACCCTGGGGAGGGGCAGGTCCCCAAGATGACTTTGTAAATGTGGAAACTGAGGCCATGAGAGGAGACCGAGCTTGTCTGAGGTTGCACAGCCAAGAAGCAGAGTGGAGGGCAGAAACGCAGGTTTCCCACAGTTACCCACATCTGCCCACATTCTCAGTGACCGTGCCAGCTTGAGCTCCATCATCCCTTGTTTAGGACACCCCTAATAGCCTCTTCTCTCTGCCCCCTACTCCAGTGTGTTATGTCTGGGACTTTATTCTCAAAAAGAGACCTGACCAGGACCTGCCCTTGGCTTAAAATCCATTAGAATTCTCACATTCTTCATCTCCCTCATAGCTGGGCAGCGAAAGCCTTCAGGACCAGTCCCGGCCACACCTCCTGCCTATGTGTTTCGTACTCCAGGGACAATGACAGCACCTGCTGGGTAACTACGTTCCAGGTGCTGTGCTGTATTTCTTTATAGAAGCTCACTCATTCTCCCGATGAGCACCGAGGAAAGAGCTAGAGACAGCCTCATTCTACAGATGAAGGAGCCAAGGCACACAGAGGTTAAGGCCACGAGGATGTGTCTGAGTCAGGATCTGGCTCAGGCGCCTGTTCACATTGCCTTGATGCTACACAGTCCCTCCAGTCACACCCAGCTTGCTTGTCCCCAGGCAGTCCACACGTGTCTCCTCACGCCTGCCGCTCTGGCTCATCTCTTCCTTCTGCCTGGCAGAGCTCCCTGTCTCCTGTCCTTGAAGGCCCAGCTCTCAGGTCCCTCTCCTCTACGTTCCCACAGCATCTGGCCCATCTCTGACTTTGTCCTCCTCCAGGCCGTGAGATCTGGGAGGGCCTGGACTCAGTGTCCCTGCTGCCTAGGACAATCCTTGGCACACAGCAGGCACTAGGAAGCATCGGCCGATCACTTACCAAGTCCTCCTTCCCCATTGCTGCTGTGGAACTTGAGCAAGGCCTTGGCCACATCGATGTTTCTCTGGAGGTACTGAATGTAGCACAGGATGTGCAGCAGAATCTCCTTCTGTCCTCCAAAGAAAGGCAGGCATGAGCATGACAGCCAGGGCTCAAGACAGAGTGAGTCTGTGGGGACCAGAGCCAGCTGGACTCCAGACCCCAGACGCTCCCCTCCCCCAACACTTCCTCAGTTGGAGAGATGATCCTATTCTACCGTTTAGACCTTGCCATAGCCCTGTGAGAAAGGGGTTACAGCTAAGGAAACTAAGGCTCAGAGGGTATAAGGTGTTTGCTAAGGTTTTAGAGATGAAGAAGCAGAACTGGGATTTGAACCCAGCTCTGCCTGCCTCCTGGTCCAGTTTTTTGGCACATACTGCTGGGCTTTGCAGCCCTTGCCCTTGGCTCATGCAGTCTCCTCTCTGCAAAGTTCTCCTCTTCTCCCCACAAACTCCCTCACCTGGCCTCTCCTCCTTGAGTGGAGGCCTCGGCACAGTAGCCTTCTCTTCCAGAAGGATGCCCGCCTCTCTGACCCCACTCGTCTGACTAGGTGAGCCGTCTCAAAACCTCAAAATGTCCTGGGCCTTGCTTGGCGAAGACACTTGCCACACTGTGTTATAATTATCTGTTAACACATAGTTCTCTCCCTTGACCTTGAGCTAGTTGAGGGGGATACTGTTGCTAATTGACTTCTGTATCCCAGGCTCACAGAATTGAGGTCTCAGTCAGGACTGTTGGAGGAGTGACTCTCCCCTCTCCCGGATAGCACCAGCTGAGCACGATGCAGCTGTCCCAGCTCAGCGCTCAGGAGCTGACGCCTAGAACTCTCGGTGAGCTGGGAACTATTGCTCTTGTATGTCTGTCCTATGCTAGGCCCTTCGGGTGATGGGGATATAGATTTATCCTTTACAGCCTTTGCCCTCCTGGAACTCTCCTCCTAAAGGTAGTTTGAAACAGGGAAACGATCACAAGGAGGGCTTGAGTGGTCAGAGGGTGAAGCTACAGGGTCACATGCGGCAGGGTGGCGAGGAAGGATGCAGTGACTGAGAGGCAGCCTGAGTCTCAAATGCGAGAGAAGCAGCACACAGTTGCTTCTTTAGTTCACGGAGCACCAGCGCCAGCGCCAGCTCAGCACACAGCCTCGGGACTGGCCCCATTGATGCTCTTTAGGCTGAGTGGGTCAAGTGGGAGGCTGGGCACCGCCCAGGGTGCTGGCTGTCTGTGCGCAGGGGGCCCCAGACTACACTTAAGGAAGGATGAAGGGGTAAGAAGAGAGATCCTGAAGAGAACAGAGCAAATGTGGTGAAGAAAGGAGGCTGAGACCTGGGGAGAAAGTGCCCAGTGTGCAGAGGCCTCAGGAAATGATCTGAGCTTAACAAGTGAGAAAATTCCCTCAGATAGAACGGACTCTCTTCATTTTACAATTCAGTGGATTTTCTGCAGCAAGATAGTCAGGGGTGTTTATGCAAATATATGCAATTCGGAACTCATTTCAGAATAAATAAACTTAAATTAAAATTAGAGAGGAGAAAATCTATCAAAGGCAGATCAAAGATGGAGCACTATTTTGAGATGGTTGACTGCTTAGCTGACATATTGCTTGTCCTCTGACTAGACTGATATCCCTCGATGACAGGTCTGTGTCCTCGTCCTCTCTTGCTCCCAGGAACCTACTATAGCACCTACACACCCCAAACTCTCAAATGTTTGAGGACAGAAGAAAACATTCCTCAAAATTTTAAGCACTGTGGTGGGTTGCTTAATGCTTCCCCCCAAAGATGTCCATGTCCTTGTCCCCAGAACCTATGAATGTACTGCTTCTTATGGCAAAGGGACTTCACAGATGAGAACGACGTTGAGGTGGAGTGATTACTCTGGGTTATGAGTGGGTTCAATGGAATCACAAGGGTCTTTGTAAGAGGGAGGCAGGAAGGGCTGGCCCTATAGCACAATGGTTAAAGGAGCTGGGTCCTACATGGGCAACTGTTGTTCAAATCTCAATCCCAGTAGCTTAAAAACATGCTGGGCCTATGTATGCGTGTGAATGAAATAATGATGGGATAGAGAAATGGAAGAAAAAGGATTGTGGCCTAAACATGCCCCATTGGGGTACTTTCTCTCTCTCTCCCCCCTCCTTTCCTTCTCCCTCTGGTGAGTGCATATGTCTTCTAGCAATAAAAAATAAATTAAAAAAAAGAGGGAAGCGGGAATGTCGAAGGCAGAGAAGGCAATGTCACAATAGAGGCAGTAGGAGAGGAGAGATTTAAAGGTGTGCTGCTGGCTTTGAAGATGACATCATGAGCCAAAAAATGTAAGTGGCCTCTAGAAGTTGGCAAAGGGAAATGGATTCTCCCCTAGAGCTCTAAGAGGAACCAATCCTGCTGTCACTTTGACTCAAGACCAGTGAGACCACTTTTGGACCTCTGTACTCTAGAACTGTAACAGGATAAATTCTCATTGTTTTTAGCCACTAAGTTTGTGATGATTTGTTACAGCAGCCAGAGGAAACTCATAAAAGCACCTACTATTCAGAGATATTTAGGAGAAAGAATCAGCATGACCTGGTGGCTGATGGAATGCAGGTGAATGGGGAAAAAGGTCAGAGTTAGAGTCAGACAAATCCATCCCAAATAGCCACTGCTTTTTTCCATTTTGTTTTCATTTTTATATTTGCCAGAGGGCATGTAAACTCACCAGATAAAGACAGAGAGACAGAGGGAGAGGGAGAACTCACCCTCCAATGGGAGTGGTCACACTGCAATCCCTTTTCCTCCATTTCTCTATCCTATTGGGATTTTAGGCATGCACACACACATGCTAGTGTGTTTTTCAAGCCCTCAGGGCCAGGACTTAAACCATGTGGTCAGCCATATGGGATTCAGCTCACTTAACCACTAAACTACAGAGCTGGCTAAACTCCTCCTTTTTTGGTAAGAATTATTTTTTATTTAACTTTATTTATTTATTTATTTATTTATTATTATTATTATTTTCCAGTTTGATCAGAGAGAGACAGAGACAGAAAGAGAAAACATAAAAGTAGGTCCAGGACTTGAACTGTGGTCAGCTATGTGGGAGTCTGGCACCTTTAATCACTCCATCACCTGCTGGCCCTCCTAACTTCCCTAAAGGCAACCAGGATCAGTTATTCCTGTGTTAAGGTCTTTATCTTCCTGGGACCAGCAGTTGGCGTAATGGTTATGTTGCTGAACTCCCATGTTGTCGACCGCAGTTGGAGTCCTGGAACCAGTGGCTTAAATTCACTCCAGGTACATGTGCGTGCGTGCCCAAGATTCCACAAGGAGACTGTAGGAGAAGGGATTGCAGCGTGGCCATCCCCCCGCGGGGGTGATTTCTTGCTTTGTGTCTCTCTATCTCTCTCTGTCTTTCTGGTGAGCGCACACACCCTATAGCAAAAACCTCTCAAAATAAATAAATAAATAAATAAATAAAAGTCTTTCTCTTCTTAACCAGTGTCTGAGTTCCAGAGCATGAAGACTAGTTCTCAAATTTCTTTACTGCCTGCACTTGTCGCATTCAGAACAGCTTCCAGCATCTAAAAATCCATCCATAAACGGTTGATGAATTAACAAATAAATAAATGAGAAGAAATAGAGGGAAAAAAAATCACACCATGCCTTTAAGATCCCAGAGTTTCATATTAAGTTATGCCCACTGGGAGCAAGATGTTAGCTCAACACTGTATACATTTATGGAGTAGCCTATGGAGAAACTATCTATTCCTACCTCAGAGAGACAATACCTACAGGTCACAAAACAAGGAACTAGGAGAGGGAACGACATTTACTCAGGGTATGCTACATGCTGGGCCTGTCATAGTGATGATGTCATTTTGGCCTTAGAATAGGTCTGGGTAGCAGCAGTTATTTCTCCTTGTTTGACAGCTGAGAAACCTGAGACTCTGTATAGCCTGAGGAACCTGCCCAGAGTTCTGCATCCATGGAGCTTCAGGGTTCAAACCCATGACTGAGCCCTGAGGTGATAATCTTTACCTGGTGCCTTATCTGTTTTTCCTTTCTCAGTTCCCATTACTTCTTGGCAAGAAAAGAATCAGGCTTATAGTCATGGTGTCACAGACTCCCAGAACTACCCATGCAGAGCAGGGCATTTCTATTTTGTTGTCACTGGAAGGATCATCTATGTTCCCAGGGCAGGTTAGTCCACTTGTTCATATTTTAAGACCTGCCTCCCAAGCCCCTCTCCTCCCATTCATACCTTGGTGAGCTTCTTGGTACTGGTCCTCAGGGCCACAGGTAGCAGTAGTGCCAGCTCTTGCAGTTTGCTGCTATGGTTTTTCTTCTGCCTCCTATTTGGGACAAGAGTCCATTTTGTTTAGGATATCCAGAACAAATTTGGCAGCTGATCCCCAAACCTCCATCTCCGTGTTCCCCATCTCAGGACCACCCAAGACAAATCCAGCCTCATCACTTCCCTTACCCCTTTGACCAATGGGCCACCAAACCTTGTCCGTTCTTCCTCCATCCCCTTCTCTTCATCTCACAGTGCCTGCCCTGGTCCATATACCGATATCCTCATAGGTCTCCCAGACTCTCGTCTGGCCTCTTCTATCGCTGCTCTGAACTACAATCAGGGTGATCTTTCTTCCTTTCTTTCTTTTTGGGAGAGATTTAGGGCTCATGTGCTTGCCAGAGAGACAGAAAGCAAGAAATCACCCCCCCAGGGGGTTGGCCACGCCACAACTCCTTCTCCATTCTCCTTTTGGGATCTTGGGCACTCGGGCACACACGCCCAGTGTGTTTTAAGCTGCAGGGTATGGGACTCAAACTGCAGTCGACTACATGGGAGTCTGACAATGCAACCACTATGCCATCTGCTGGTCCCAAGGGTGATCTTTCTTTCTTACTTTAATTTTTTTTTTTGAGAGAGATTTTTGCTATAGGGCACATATACACTCACCAGAGAGACAGAGAGACAGAAAGTGAGAAATCACCCCCCCAGGGGGTTGGCCACATTGCAATCCCTTCTCCTCCATTCTCCTCTTGGGATTTTGGGCATGCACACACACACCCAGCATGAGTTTTAAGCCACGGGGTCCAAGACTCAAACCACAGTCAACTAAGTGGGAGTCCAGCGATGTAGCCATTATGCCATCTGCTGGTCCCCCAAGAGTGACCTTTCTTCAAGGCAAATCTGACCATGTTGCTCCCTTGCTTCCAATCTCTCAATGCCATCCCATTGTCAAGAATCAAGTCAAAACCTTTAATGTGGTATACAATGCCTTCACAGCCTGGCCTATCACTAACAGGACTGGGGAAGTACGTTTGCTAAGGTCCCAAGCCCTTGTCCTCGTATAGTTCTCTGATCCTTGCACTGGGCTGTCAGCTGGGTGGGGGTTACCACTGTCTCCCTAGCACTTGGAATGGGCTCTGTACATTACAGGAACATACTCTATATTTGCTAAATGAATAAATAAATAAATAAGGTCATGAAAGAAGTTGACTCCTGGGCAGCTGCAGAACTTCCAGGGCTAATCCCTGAATCTATAATTTATAATACTGCCCATGCACACACATCTCTTCTGACAGATGGAGATACAAAGATGCTGGTGTCTCTCTCCCAAATTACACACCACTGTCGTTGCTGACACAACTTCTTGGGGAATGCCCAAACACGTCCTTTGTCACTAACTCTGTGCCTGCCTCTTTCAGGGTCCAGTTCAGTTACTGCCTCTCCTGTCTTCCTCCCCCAATCTGAATGCCCACAGTACTTTATGTTCCCTGCACTATGGTTAAGCCAAAACCACTCTCTTGATTTCACACTTATGTTTAGTTCCAACTTGCACCCATAAACAGACATGTGCCCAGCGTGAGTTTAAGCCACCAGGTCCAGGACTTGAACCGCGGTCGACTACATGGCAGTCCAGTGACATAGCCATTACACCAACTGCTGGTCTCATATTTTTTTTCTTTTTTTTTTTAAGAGAGATTTTTGCTATAGGGCATGTGTGCTCATCAGAGAGACAGAGAGACAAAAAGTGAGAAATCATCTTTCAGGGGAATGGCCATGCTGCAATTACTTCTATTCTCTTGGAATTTTGGGCATATAAAATCCCGAGAGGAGAATGGAGGAGAAGGGATTATGGCGTGGCCATCCCTCTGGGGGGTGATTTCTTGCTTTCTGTCTCTCTGTCTCTCTGGTGAGCGCATGTGTCCTGTAGCAAAACCCTGTCCAAAAAAAAAAAAAAAGATTTCAAGAGGAACCCTGTCAAAAAAAAAAAAAAAGATTTCAAGAGGAGAATTGAGGAGAAGGGATTGTGGCATGGCCATCCTCCCTGGGGGGTGATTTCTCACTTTCTGTCTATCTCTCTTTGCTTTTCTGGTGAGCACATGTGCCCTATAGTAAAAACCTCTCCAAAAAATAAATAAATAAATAAATTTTAATTTCAAGATGACAGGAACAAAGCATTGGACTCGTCTAAGCACAGGGCTCTGTGTGATTGCACAGGTTGTGTTATGAAGTTAACCTTAAAGAGGACATGCAAGAGGTGCTTGCTGTTTTGGAAGTTTGTAATAAGGGGCTTTAACTTAATCAACAAGGAGCTTGTAATAGAGGATTTTTTTAAGTGAATACATCACTGGATTCTTACATGGTCAACTACAGTTTGAGTCTCAGACCTGGTAGCTTGAATCTCACACCAGTTACGTGCGTGGGTGTGTCCAAGATCCCAGGAGGAGAATGGAAGAGAAGAGATTGCAATATAGTCATTCCCCCAGGGGGTGTTTTCTCATTTTCCCTCTCACTGTCCCTCTTTCTCTCTTGTGAGCCTACACACCCCATAGAAAACAATCTTTAAAAAAAAAAAAAGAAGTATTTAATTAAATTAATTAATTTATTTGCTATAAGGCACATGCTCACATGCTCTCACCAAAGAGAGAGAGAGAGAGACAGTGAGAAACCAAGCTGCTAGGTCCAGACTCAAACCATGATTGACCATGAAGGTAGAAGTCAACACCTTTTCACTTTGCTATAGGGGACCAGAGAGAGACAGAGAAAGTGAGAAAGGAAACCACCAGATCCAGGACTTGAACCACAGTTGACCATGTGGGAGTCCAGTGCTTTAATCAATTACCATGCCACCTGCTGGTCCCAAAGTTACTCTTTTTCTTTTTTTAGAGTATTTTTTCTTTTTCTTTTGCTTTAGGGTGTGTGTACTCACCAGAAAGACAGAGAGAGACAGAGAGACAGAAGGCGAGAAATCAACCCCCCTGGGGGGAAGACCACACCACAACCCTTTCTCCTCCATTCTCCTCTCAGGATCTCGGGCATGCATGCACATGTGCTTGGTGTGAGTTTAACCCACCAGGTACAAGACTTGAACCACAGTAGACTATGTGAGAGTCCAGCGACATAGCCATTATGCCATCTGCTGGTCCCAATAATTACTCTTTATACAATACTTTCTTTCTTTTTTTTTTTTTTTTTTTGAGAGTTTTTTGCTATAGGGTGCGTGCGCTTGCCAAAAAGACAGAGAGAGACAGAGAGACAGAAAGCGAGAAATCACTTCCCAGGGGGCATGGCCATGCCGTAATCCCTTTTCCTCAATTCTCTTCTTGGTATCTTGGGCATGCACGCACACGTACCCTGTGTGAGTTTAAGCCACCGGGTCCGTGACTTGAACCGCGGTCAGCTACATGGGAGTCCAGCGACATAGACATTACGCTAACTGCTGGTCCCTATACAATACTTTCTTTATGTTCTAGAGGGTCATTAGAAGCCCCAGTGAGAAACAACATAACAAGCAAGGAAGAAAAAGCCTCTCAGTCTATTTAAGTTCAATGCATTATTTGACTAAGGGTTTCATATCAACCATAGTTCTTTGGTGTTTACTCTGGGTTTTGCAAAGCACAGGGAGTGCCTTCTGGGCAAATACAGAAGTTTTAAAAAATCTGGAGAGAAAACAAGTGACTAGGAATCACCAAATTCTAACATCCCTGGGTGGCAGTCCCAAATAGGTACCACCCAGACTCTCCTCTCAGAGGCCTCCAGAAGCCTGGTACTCCTTTCCAAGGCTGCCTTTTACCTTGCTGGATGCTTCTGGGTTGAGCTTATTTCTTTCTTCACAGTCTTTCTAATTTTCACCCACTAATCCCAACTCCACTCTCTGGGTCTGCATGGAACAAGACCGCTCTAGCCACAAGAGTCCTTTTTCTATTTCTCTAAACTGCCAAATTTATTTCTGCCTTAGGGCCTTTGCTGTTGCCTCTAGCCAGAATGTTCTTTTTGCTTTGATTTTTGCATGGCTGATTTCTTCATTGCCATTCAGCACTTAGCCTAAATGTAATCTCAGATAGGACTTTCAGATCACTTGTAAAAAGTACATTTTTTGTCACATCTTCTATTTAAAAAATATATATATACACATATATATTTAATTCCATTTGCTATTATTATTATTAACATAATTATTTTCTTTAACTTATTTATTTATTTTGAAGGACAGGGAGAGAGAAAGTGAGAAAGTAGACTGCCAGGTCTAAGACTCAAACAGCAATGTGGGAATCCAGTGCCTTTAACCACCATGCCTCCTGCCAGCCCCATAAGTCTCCTATTATTAATCAGAATCTGAAATATTTTTCTTTTTTGAAATATTTTATTTTTTAAGGGGTTTTTGCCTTACAGTGTGTATGCTCACTGGAGAGACATAGACAGAGACAGAGACAGAGAAAGTGAGGAATCACCTCCTGGGAAGATGGCCACGCCACAATCCCTTCTCCATTCCCCTCCCAGGATCTTAGACACACACACACACACACACACACACACACACACACACGTATGTCTGGAGTGATTTTCAAGTCACCAGGTTCAGGACTCAAATCACGGTTGGCCATGTGGGAGTCCAGCAACATAACTGCGAAGCCATCTGCTAGTTCCTATTTTCTGAATTTTTATCACTTATTTGTTATAAATATGAACATTGAAAAGGCTGAGATTTTTGTCTTTATTTACTGCTATAACCTACACTAACTTATCTATTAAATGCAGTAAACACAGTGCCTAGGACTTTTCTGGGGCTCATGCAAATGTTTTAAATTTTTTTTTAACTTTATTTTCATTTGACCAGAGTGGGACAGAATGAGAGAGAGAGGGAAAGTGAGAAAGCAAGTTACCAGGCCCAAGACTCGAACTGTAGTTGGCGCAGTCGGTCATGTGAGAGTCCAGCGCCCTTAACCACCATGCCACCTGCTGGCCCCGAAAATGTTTTAATTTCTTTTAAATTAGTAGGAAAAAAAGAATATATTTAAATATGTATTTTTTGACTGTATAGCAATGTTATTATAAACTATAATCTTCAATTTTAAAAAAGTTTCTATAAAACTTGTGTGCTTGCCAGAGACAGAGAGAGAACAAGTGAAAGTGAGAAAGCATTCCCCAGGGAGCGTGATCACACCACAATCCCTTCTCCATTCTCCTCTCAGACTTCGGGCACACAGGCACACACACATGTTTCTCAAGCCACTGGGTTTAAGACTCAACCAAGCAGTGGGCCATACAGGATCCTTTTGGCCATATTACAAACTGCCCCCTTCCCCCTTATTTATTTTTCTTTTTGGAGAGGTTATTGCTATAGGGTGCGTGTGCTCACCAGACAGACAGAGAGAGATAGAAAGCAAGAAATCACCCCCCAGGGGGGATGGCCACACCACAATTCCTTCTCCTCCATTCTCCTCTCGGGATCTTGGGCACGCATGCACACGTGCCCGGCGTGAGTTTTAAGCCACTGGGTCCAGGACACAAACCGCAGTTGACTACATGGTAGTCCAGCGACATAGCCATTATGCTAACTGCTAGTCCCCCGCCCCTCTTATTTTTTAATGGAGCAAGGGCAAAATTACCTATGGCCTGTGAGCATGGCATAACTATATCCCTAGCTCCTAGAATATGCCTAGCACCTAACGGGTATATAATAAATACTACTACTAATAATACATTAGAAACTGTTGAATTAATTAATGTTGTTTATGTCCTGAGATGACCTCTCAATCTTTTGAAGTGGCAAATGAGTCTGATTCCTGAATTTCCTCTTCTCTGAGCTAATCACCCTAAACACATACTAGTCACTTCATTTTACAGGAATTGGAAGAGCCAATCCCTAATTTGCTTTAATATCTGCAGGAACTTAGAGTAAGAGCTGCCCCAAGGTGGCCAAAGGGGGCAGGGGGCAGTCCCAAGAGACAGCATAATGATTGGTTATAGGTCCCAGCTTTTGAAATAAAGAGATAGACTGGGGTTCATATCCAAGCTCTGCTTCTTGCTATGTGACTTTGGGCAAGTGCTTCCATTTTTCCAAGCCTGTTTGTTCCTAATTTGTAAAATGGAGGTGAAAAAAATTTAATCTTGCCTGGAAGGTGTTTATCATAGTACCTGGCATATAGGGAATGCTCTTGAAACATCCGTTCTAGACAGATGGTGACAGTCATTTGTCAGAATGATTTATGGGTACAGGATGCTGAGGGATGAGGTGGAGGGACTGTATTGGATGATATGGTTTCTGTTTGACCAACATCCAATACTCTAGGTTTTCTTTTGGGCAACCTCTCCTCTTTTACATTCAATCTATGTGATGTGGTTCAGAGAGGTTTAGGGAGCTCAGACTCAAACTCCAGCCAAGAAGAGTCATAGTGGTTGGTTCAAGATTGAGTAGTACCAGTTTTGACCAATCAGAGTCATTCAATTTTGTAAGAGACTCTCCCTGCTGGGGTGGCCAAGATGCCAGGATATGAACCTAGAGCAGCTGGGAACCATCTTAGTTTCCCCAAAGGAGATTCTGTTGGAAGAAGTAGCCAGTTCAGCCAACAGCAGAGCCAAAAGAGGCAGATTTCTGGCAGCACCATTTAACTTTCACCTGGAACCAACCAAGCCTGACTCCTCTGGATTTTCTGTTTAAACATTCACTAAATCACCTTTTAAGTTTAAGCTGGTTCAAGCTACAGTTCTGTAAATTGCAGTCTTTATGAATACAAGGGCCTCATACTTAGAAAGTGAGAAACGAGAATGAATTGTTGGTGACCTCTGGGATTCCGGGAGAAATAGGCAGTGTAATAGACATTATTTTTCTTCATGGTAAGTAAAGAACCTGAACAAAGTAAATGCTTCATTTTGGAATTAAGAAATGAAGAGGTGGCTGGATAGAAGGTTACTGGAACAGGACCAGCAGATGGCATAATGGTTACGTTGCTGGACTGCCACAGAGTTGAACATGGTTCAAGTTTGGGACCTAGCATTTTAAAACACACTGGGTGTATGTGCATGCAGGCCCAAATCCCAAGAGGAGAGTGGAGGAAAAGGGATTGTGAGGGAGGCCATCCCCTGGCGGGGGCGGGGAGGGCGGTGATTTCTCGATTTCTGGCTATCTCTCTGTCTCTCTAGCAAGCACACATGCCCTACACCAAAAATCTAAAAAAATAAAAAGAAGTTCACTGGAAGAAATGATAAAGGATAAGATGCCTCTAGCTGTTTTTTCTTTATTCAGACTTTGGAGATAGGGAAAAATCTGATTCAACCTTCAATTTCCTCTATAAGAAAATCTCTAGGCCAGCAGATGGTGCAGTGCTTACATCACTGGACTCCCACATGGCCAACAGCAGTTCAAGTCCCATACCCAATGGCTTGAAACTCACACAAGGCACCTGTACATGTGTGTCCAAGATCCTGTGAGGAGAATGGAGAAGGAACTCTGGCTTTCTCTCTTATTGTCTCTGTCTCTCTCTGGCAAGTGCGAGTGCACACACCCTAAGGCAAAAACCTCTACAAAAAATCTCTATATCATCAAAATATCTATATGATTCCTAATACTTGGTAGATGCTTGTGGGATTAATGAATGTGTGAATAAAGGAAAGGAGGACCCAGATGTTGGAAGCAGTAAAACATGACTCTGTGAGGTTTGTCCATATGGGAAGATTCCAGATTTATGTCTAGAGATCTCCCTGAGCACTCCAGGTACATGCATGCCCAAGATCAGGGATGGTTGAGACTGGAGGTAGACCAGTGCATCAAGACCCTGTCAGACTTGCTACCTCTCTGACTCAGAAGAAACCAATCAATTAAAACAAACAAACAAACAAACAAACAAAAGATCCTCAGAATGTCAAAGCCTGCAAGGGCCTTAGAAATTATCTTTGTCAATTACTTCAGAGTTCTCATTTTAGGAAAATGGCAAGAATAATTTGTAACTACCTTTTAAAAATTATTTTATTTGGGAACCAGCAGTTAGCGTAACGGCTATGTCGCTGGACTCCCACGTAGTCGACCACGGTTCATGTCCTGGACCCGGTGGCTTAAAACTCACACCGGGCGCGTGTGTGTGCATGCCCAAGATCCCGAGAGGAGAATGGAGGAGAAGGGATTGTGGCGTGACCATCCCCCCTGGGGGGTGATTTCTCGCTTTCTGTCTCTATGTCTCTCTCTGTCTGCACACGTGCCCTATAGCGAAAACCTCTCCAAAAAAAAATATTTAACTTTATTAAATTATTTTCATTTGACCAGAAAGGGACAGAGAGAAAGGGAAAGTAAGCTGCCAGGTTCAGGTCTCAAACTGTGGTCGGCCACATGGGAGTCCAGCACCCTTAGCCACCACACCACCTGCTGGCCTATGTAATTACTTCTCAGATTAAAAAATATCAAACAAAGGGCTTAGCCAAGAGTCTGGCAAGTAGTATATGCTCAATAAACATTATTATTGTTATTCTCTAGAGTGGCTGGAGCTGTGAAGGGATGGGGGAGTCCTTACCTGTTACTGGGGTTCAGTGAATTGGCTCTGGGCCGTTCAGAGGAACACAACTGTCCACTGGAACCCCACATCTGCAAAGGAAGAAAAAAAATTATTAGTGATCCTTGGGATGCCAGGAGAAATGAGCAGCATGATGGGACATTTCATTTTCTCCATTATGCTCCTTTGAGCACTCAGAGATCCTAAAACAGCATCCATAAGCACTACAAATATGTGCCCAGAGACTCAAATTAAAACCCCAAACCTGTAAACTGAAGTCCATGAGTCCAGAATTGTAAATCTGGGCCCCTAAATCATGATCTAGACCTAAAATTAAAACCAGAAAATCCCTCAACTCTGACTTTAGAATTCAGAACTTGATAGTGAGATGCCAGATCTTGAAATGGAGATTCCCAGGTCTGAAAACTGTGGCTTGCGATCTTTAGGCTGTGATATTAAGACAACTAAAACTATGACATCAAACTTACAGAGCGAACACCCAAAAAGAAGCCAACAAACCCTAATCTGTAATACTGAGATACCCTAATTGTCTGGTCTTCAAATATGACCCCAATCCTAATATTAAAAATCACAGACCACAACAAAACCACAAATCTCCCCACAATTTTAGTTTTTGCTAGAGGGCATGTGTGCTCACCAGAGAGAGAGAGAGAAAGAGGAGAAAGCACCCTCTTCCCCCATGGGAAATAGTCATGTCACAAACCCATCTTGCTCACCAGAGAGAGAGAGAAAGAAAGAGGAGAAAGCACCCTCCCTCCCATGGGAAATAGTCATGCCACAAACCCATTTCTTCCATTTCCCCCATCTTTGGGGATTTTCAACTTGCATGTACTTGCACTGAGCATGTTTCCCGAGCTGTTGAATCTGTGACCTGAACTGCTGTGTCAGCCATATGAGATCTGGTTGCCTTACCCACCAGACCACAGAGCCAGCCCAAGACCACAAATCTTAATACCAAGAACCCAAATCCTCAAGTAAAAAATGTAGGCCCCAGGACCAGCAGTTGGCATAATGGCTATGTTGCTGGACTCCCGCGGTTTGAGTCCCTGACCAGGTGAGTTAAACTCACGCCGGGCGCATGTGCGTGTGTGCCCAGATTCCTGAGAGGAGAAGGGATTGCAGCGTGGCCATGCCCCCTGGGGCGTGATTTCTCACTTTCTGTCACTCTGTCTCTCTCTGTCTTTCTGGCGAAGGCGCGCGCCCTATAGCAAAAACCTCTCAAAAAAAAAACAAAAAACAAAAAAACTAGGCCCCTCCAAAGCAAACCTCAATCCCCAAGGTTGACCTCAGACCCCAATAAAGACCTCTAGGCTTTACAACTGCCATTTGGGACCCTCACATCTTAACTCCTAGACCTTCAATTGAGATCTAACATGTCAGTCCTACTCTGAGACCCTAAAACTGAAGCCTCACACTCACTGCGGAGACTCTCAGGCCTTAATTCTCCAAGACCTAATGGATACTGGAGACCCCAGGTCTCATATCCCACATTCTCCAGAGATTATCTAAACTGAGGCTTAACTCTTCCCAAATCAGACAGGAGACCACCAGGTGATAATCCAGAGCTCAAACTAAGACTTCCAGATCCCCAAATTAGGATCTCTGGAGTCCAACAGGAAAACTTTCAGTCACAAAACCCAAGAACTTCACGTTTCGAAAATATAATAGTTACTCCCAGACCCGAGTCCTGAGGCCTCAGGTCCTAACCTGGGAACCTGGATCCCCAGGGCTACTGGGGCCTTCAGCCCCAATCCCAAATCTCGGCCCATCCTCAAACCCAAACCCATCCTCAAACTCCTCACCACGGCCCTGCACGCCGAGCATATCTGTCTCCTGTCCCCCTGGATCCCCCAGAGGAGGGCTCAGGTGTCAAAATGCCACTCCTGTGGGGACCTGACTCTCTTCAGGCCAGCTAATAAGGGAGAGCGGCCTGCCCCACCTATGTCCCCTCAGCCTCCAGCACCCGCCTTGGGAAGTGCAAAACGGCGTGAGGTGGCCCTGCTCTTGGTTTCTCGCAGGCCCCACACTTGAGAGTGGATCTGACAGCTTCTCCCGCGGTCCTGGGAGGAGGGCCGCGCGCACAAGCCCTGGGCACCTCAGCTGCCACGTTCCCAACCCGGCCGTGAGGTGGGTGCGAATGCCCTGGGCGCAAGGTTCTGTGAGAGGTTCCAGCGCGAGGCCTGAGGCCAGAGGAGGAGAGCAAGAGTGAGCTCCTGAGGCCAGGCCACGCCCCCACCGGCTCCCGCCAAGGTGTGCTGGGAGCGAGACTGCGAAGGGTTAAAGGGCAGGGTACAAGTGGCCTTGCGCACGCGCGCCTGGGGAAGGGCCTGCTCCTTGTGCACCGCGCGAGCTCAGCCTCGAGCCTCCTGACAGGCCTTCGCGGGGCGCGCCAAAATGCAGACCAATCAGCGCTCAGCCAGTTACCCGCCTTTTTAGCGGGCCCCGCCCCTCCCTGCCACGCCCCCTGACGGCTTCGGCCATCCAGAGCCCTTGGATCCCGAAGAAGAGGCGGGGTCTCTCCAACTGCCAATTCCCTGGAAGACAAGGAGAGGTCGCACCAGTGTCCGCTCTGAGCTCAGGTGCCCTTTCCCGCCTTTTTTTTTTCCAGTACACATCTCATAAGGACCAAGCACAGCACTGGATATGGAGACCTTAGTCGCGGATCTTCTCTGTGCACTTGGGAAGGCCCAGAGACTATGAGAATTCAGGAAGCAGGAGCTATGTTAATGCAGAGAACAATACATTGGGAAAAGATTGAATGAGGAGGGTCCTTTGAATTAGTAACTCCTTTTAGGAAGACAGAAGATCTTTGTGATGTAAGCAACTGCCCAACTTAGAAAGCTCACACTCATGGCCCATGAGGAGGATGACTAGGCAAATATACAGGGAGGGGACTTCAAATAGCTTGTGGAAGAGTAGAATTATGAGTTTAGGGACCAGCAGATGGCATAATGGTTACGTCACTGGACTCCCATATAGTCGACCGTGTTCTAGTCTTGGACCCAGTGGCATAAAACTCACGCCAGGGGACCAGCAGTTGGCTCAATGGACTCCCATGTAGCCGACCACAGTCTGAGTCCCAGACCGGGTGGCTTAAACTCACGCTGGGTGTGTGTGCGTGCGTGCCCAGGATTCCCAGAAAAGAATGGAGGAGAAGGGGTTGCGGCGTGGCCATCCCCCAGGGGGTGATTTCTCACTTTCTGTCTCTCTGTTTCTCTCTTGTGTCTCCAGCGATCGCACACACCCTATAGCAAAAATCTCTCTCTTAAAAAAAAAGTATGAGTTTAGGGTCAGCTCTGTGACCTGATGATTAGGCAGCCAGATATCACATGACTGACTATGATTCAAGTCTGGGACCTGGCAGAGAAGCACACCTGGCACACGTGCATCCCCCAAATCCTGAAAGGAAGGTGAGATAGAGGAGAAGAGATTGCAATGTGACCTTCCCCATGAGGGATGCTTTCTCTCTCTGTCTCTCTGTCTCTCTCTGGTGAGTGCAAGCACCCTTTAGCGTGCACACACACACACAAACACACAAGTATGAGTTTATTTTGGCGTAAAAATATTTTTGAAATCCATATAATTTTTTTTAACGATATGCATTTTCTTTTTTTTTTTGAAGAGGTTTTTGCTATAGGGCGTGTATGCTCGCCAGACAGACAGACAGAGACAGAGACAGAAAGAAAGAAATCACCCCCCAGGGGGGATGGCCACACTGCAATCCCTTCTCCTCCATTCTCTTCTCAGGATCTTGGGCACGCGCACACACGCACCCAGCGTGAGTTTTAAGCCCCAGGGTCTGGGAATCCAACTGCGGTTAACTACGTGGGAATCCAGCGACATAGCCATTACGCTAACTGCTGGTCTCACCATATGCATTTTCTACAAACTTTTTGAAACTCCTGTCCTATCCTAGGGAGACGTGATCTAGAGATCTAGTAGAGCACAGAAGTCCTAGAGTCCAACACATTTTGGGCCGAATCACTTTCTTGGCTGTGTTGCTATGGACAAGAGACTTAATCTCTTTCTGTCTTAACTTTTTTTTTTTTTTAATAGACATTTTTGTTATAGGGTACATGTGCTTGCTGGAGAGACAGAGAGGGACAGAAAAGGAGAAATCACCCCCCAGGGGCGATGGCTACACTGCAACCCCTTCTACTTCATTCAGCATTTTGAGCACCCACGCACATGCACCCATCGTGAGTTTCAAGCCACCAGCTGCACGACCTGAACTGCGGTCAGCCACGTGGGAGTCCAGAGACATACCTTTATGCCATCTACCGGTCCCTCTTCCTGTCTTAATTTTTATAAACTTCGGATCATTCTTACTAGGGTTGTCTTCTGGATGTCTGGCATATGTTGGCATACAATAAATATTTAATCAACCCTCATTTATACTGTTCCAGGTGCTTGAACAAGGTACAGAAAGATCCGGGTCCTCCCGGAGCTTCTTAATAAGATGTAGACTAGATCCTAGTGCACGGGTTTCCTCTCTCCTACTGCTTAATTTTCTCATTTTTAAATTAGGTAGAGGCACTTAAGAATATTGGGAGTGGGAATAGATGGGAAAGTACAAGGCACTGTTAATTATTGTGTTAAATCAGCATAAGTCAATCAATAAACTTGCTCTTTCCCAACTTTCCACTCCTCACCAACGCCCCTTTGCAATTTTCTTAATTTCCCTTCCAGGGGCCCCGGGCCAAAATGGAGGAGGCTGGACTCCAACTCCCAGCGCGCCTCGCGGGGGCGCTCTCTGCGCCTGCGCTGCCAAGTGTTCCCTTTGTCTCCTGGGAGTTAGAGTCGTCTTTTCCTCAGCAGGTCCAGTTAGCTTCCTACCCCACCGCGAAGCTTGGCCGTGGTGCCTTCTGGGATTTGTAGTCCGTGGTCTCTCGGACTCCAATTCCCAGAGGGCTTCGGGGCGAGAACCCGGAAGGGGAGGCTGGAGAGGAGCGAGTGGGGGAAACCCGCGTAGCCGAGGGAGCTGCAACGCGGAGAGATGGTGAGAACCCCAGGCGGGGGCCGGGGGCGCCTAAGACTCGGGGCGGGGGTTCAGGGCTGGGAGACTAGAGGGAAGACGCAGAAGCTAGAGAAGGGGCTGGGCCAGGGGCGGTCGTCTGGGGGTGGGCTTTGGGAGGAATAGGAGCCGGAGGGAGTAGAAGAATGGGGGCCAGGGAGGGGTCTTTAAGGTGGAGAGGGAGTCGAGCTTTGGGATTGATTGTAAGGTTGCTCAGAGGTGGGGAAGGGGGTCCCGAGTTGGAGACTGGACAGGGTGTCCAGGCAGAGGCCCTGAAGGGGACAATCTCTAGGGGCTTTGGAAAGGCATGGGGTCAGAGATAAGTGAGTGAGGGGGTGAACTGGAGGCTCCAATGGAGAGGCCAACAGAGGATGCGAGGGGTTGGGTTCTCTGGGTCGGATCGTGGCCAAAAGGGCAAACTGAGGAGTGGCAGGGAGAAATCTGTGGTAGGGTAGAGTGAGGGCAAGGCTCCAGGACCTGGGGTAGACCGAGGAGGTGAGCGAGAACAGGGGCCTGGATGTGGAGATAGTACCTAGTCCAGCCAAGACTCGAAAAGCTGGAGTGTCGCCGAACTGTAGGATAATGGAACCTGAAGGGGCCATAGAGACAACCTTTTGCACCCTCCTAGAAGAGTGGCTTATCTGCTTGGGCAGTCGGCATTCAGCGCCTTTATTCTGCGGCTCCTTTGTGACTTGAGCAAGTCTGCTGTCTCTGCTCCTCAGAGTCCTTCTCTGTATTGTGGGAACAGGCATGCCACTGAGAAGAGGGCGAAGAGGAGGGACGTTAAAATCATTACTGAGCTGGTGCAACTTGAGTCCCAGTCTCAGAGCTGTTGGCTGGAAGTTCCCCACCCCAGGAATGTGACTGGGTCACAGGTGCTAATGGATTCCCTCCCTTTCAGTCCAGCCCTTGGGGCGTTTTCTCAACACTTGGCACTGATCTGGGCACACCCCGGAGCAGAAGCATGAAGGGGCTCCCCACAGTGGATTATAGTGAACACCTATTGTTTTATGAAGTGCCTGGCCTTTCTCTTAGCTATTTGTGTATTAACTCATTTAATTCTCCCAACATCCCTATTATCTCCATATTACAAAAAGGAATCAGAAACACGGAGAAGTTCATCAACATTCCCAGCGTTAAATGGTAGACTCGGGATTCTAACCAAGACAGCCTGGCTCAGAATCTGTGCTTTCATCTCTGTAATCTCCTTGTACTGAAGTACAAGGAGGGGTGATGGGTAGGGGCAGAAACCAATGCAGTCTCCCGTTAGAATTTTATTTTTTTGCTTTGTGTGACCTTGGACAAGTCTTTTGGCCTCTCCTGGTCTGTAAAATGGGATCAGTAACCCTGGGAAGGTTAGGGGGTTCACGGAGTTAATGCATGTAAAGTGCTTGAGGTTTTTGTGTGTGTGTAGTTGGAAAACTGAGACTTGATAGAGAAGACAGCAGAGCCGGACCAGTGAGGGAAGCATTGGCCAGGCTTTCTCCCTTTCATTTTCGGCTAGGTTGCCCTCATATCCTGATCCTTCTAATTAACTATTTTTTACCCCTGGTCTCCTAAATCCAAGCATAACTCCCCTGGAGGGTGCTCAGAAACTCAGTCTGTCCCTATTTCCATTCCTGTGCCCAGTGAATATTAATTCACTTGCCAGTGCCCAGTCTGGCCCAACTCCAGGTGTTTCAATGAATAGGACATATTTCTAACAATTGGGATTGTGTTTTTTTTCCTCCTTCAAACTTTTGGTCATTCTGGCCTCACTGGACAGTTTGGCAACTTTGTAGTTATCCTTGAAGCAATTTGTTTCATTTGTTACAAACTTTCTGGAGTTAATCATAGAAGTCAGCAACACTGATAGTAAAGCCTATGTTTAAAAGCATTGAGGCCAGATAGCCCCAGGTTCAAATCCCTGCCTCTGTTGCTGTGTGTCCTTGGCCAACCTGCAGTCCTGTTCTGGGCTTCAGTTTTCTCCTATGTGGAATGGGATCACTGAGGGCCTTCTGTGATTTTATTCTTTTATTAAAATAGTACAGGAGCTGGTCCCATGATCTGGTGGTTAAGCTATATCTTGGGGCCAGCAGGTGGTTAAGGTGCTGGACTCCCACATGGCTGACCGTGGTTCGTGTCCCAGACCTGGTGACTTGCTTTCTCACTTTCCTTTTCTCTCTCTGTCTCTGGTCAAATGTTTAAAAATTAATAATAATAACAAATAAAGTTAAATAAGTAATTTTTTTTAAAAGAGAGAGGGAGTTATATCTATATGGCCAACCATGCAGTTTCAATCCTGGATCCGGCAGCCTGAGATACGCCAGGGGTGTGTGTGTGTGTGTGTGTGTGTGTGTGTGTGTGCCCGCCCCAAATTCCAATAGGATAGAAAAATGGAGGGGAAGGGATCGTGATGTGACCATGCTGTGGGAGATGCTTTGTCCCTCTTGATCTCTGTCTGTCTGTCTGTCTTTCTCTGACGAGTGCCCTCTAACAAGTCAAAAAAAAAAAAAAAAAAGGAAAGAAAGAAAGCGAAGAAAAAAAAATGTATTGGAGACAGAGTGCCTGGGTTTGACTCCTGGT